TTTGTTTCATCCCCCCAAGGGCTTATTACTTCAGCGACCCCTCGCGATTGAACGAACACATAAAACATGCAGAATATCCTCGGTGTGTCTTCGTGTGTTTGTTGAGAACCATCACCTCACCTTGAGTGTTGCTTCTCTTGGGCCACGATGAGATACCCTGCCGACTAACAGCGCCCACAACACTCATGAGATACCAAAGTAGCTAATCCACCCGGACAACTCGTACTGGTGATGTTACTAGGATATGCCTTATGCGGGTGCAGCTGTGCCAAACCCCTGCAATTCGGGGTTGGATACTTCCATTAATAGAAATAAAACGAAGCTTAAAAAAGAGATTTCCAAAACTCACCGTACACTGCAGATATGACCGTGTAGAAGATGAGCTGCTCATAAGTCATCAATTCGTACGAGCCAAACGTCGGCACTGCTTCGAGGAATAGAGCAGCAGCGCCTTTCAAATCACGCACCGACATTTTATAAAGTCCCTCATAGGAACGGAGGCGATTTTTACGCTCCCAATCGCCGCCCTTCAATAATTTTATCTCAGATCTCCGCATATTTAACCAAATAATAAAAGTCCGCCAATAAATCCGCGTAACTTCTCACTTTAAAAAAAAACCCTCCCCCTCCTTTCCTCCTTCATCTGCTCTATTCCTGTTTGCTGTCTGTGGTACTAAAGAGCGCGATCGGAGCGTAGCAGCTGAAAGGGTGACAAAGATCTAATATGCCCAACGTTACTCTCAAGAGAAAAAGTATGAGGACAAATGCTGGAAAGAGGAGCAGGAGAAGCAATAGGCAGAACGAGTTAATGCAATTCTGGTCATAGCAGTAACGGCCAGCTGCAGGTGGCTGATCAAATTACCGAGAAAATGTTTAATCGGACGATTAAAATTTCGTAAGTATATGGGGATTATTAAAAAGTCACACGATTAGCAGAGCTCGAAGCACAAAATATTACTTGTGAAAAATAATTAATCTTTTAGAAGACCTGTTCCATAAGATCCTTGGCTTTTGCAATATTTGTGTTTATCAGCTGATGGTCCAGGAAAAAAAGGCCAAGTCGGATGAGATTGAAGATGAGATCGATGCGATATCCGATGCCCACTGTTTTCTCGAAAGTCTGCCTGAATGAGGACACTGCCGCATCCTTGTCGCCTATCTGACAGAGATATTCACTTTTTCGGAGATACGCCTGCCGAACTTCGCTTTCTCCTATAAAAATTTATATGTCACCGAGTTTTTGCATTAAATCTCACTAGTTTATTGTGCCTGTACAGTATTGGTTTGGTGGTCACAACATTCACCCAGAAGAGGCCAAACAGTCCCAAGAAATATGGAGTACTGCTGACGACGGAAGACAGAAATACGGGGAGAAAAAAAAATTGGAGAGACAAGAATGGCAAGGACGACTGGGCGACTTCAGCAACAAAAATAACCGGAAAAAAAAGTAAAAATAAACCTAGATTTTGCTCGGCATCCTTAATTTCATCGTCAATCTCTTTCAGACGCTTTTCGTTTGCTTCCTTTAGCTCGGCGAGAAGTGCCTCATTAAGAGGAAATCCAACTTCGCCGCAAATAAGCTTATAATACGGTCCCATTTCATTTTCTCGTATCAACTGAAAATCAGATGTTTATAAAAACTGCCAAAGCTCAAAACGGAACACTGGAAAGAACCCCAGCACGCACCTGCACGAGTTTGTCCCATTTCTCGGCTTTTGTTTTAGCA